GACCAGGAGGATTACTTCAGAGGCTTGAAATTTCGCAGTGGAAATGGGAGGGTATTACTATGAACTTTGTAGTTGGGCTTCCACGGACTTTGAGGAAGTTTGATGCGGTATGGGTGATTGTAGATCGGTTGACTAAGTCCGCGCATTTTATTCCAATTGGTACCAATTATTCTTCGGAGCGGTTGGCTGGGATTTATATCCGCGAGATTGTTGGCCCACATGGTGTGCTAGTGTCCATCATTTCAGATCGGGGCACGCAGTTTACATCACAGTTTTGGAGAGCAGTGCATCGATAATTGGGCATACAGGTTCAGTTGAGTATAACATTTCATTCTCAGACGGACGGATAGTCCGAGCGCACTATTCAGATATTAAAGGATATGTTATGCACTTGTGTCATTGATTTTGGGGGTTCTTGGGATCAATTTCTGCCACTCGTAGAGTTTGCTTATAATAAAAGCTACCAGTCAAGCATTCAGATGGCTCCATATGAGGTTTTGTATGGGAGACGGTGCCGGTCCCCGGTGGGGTGGTTTGAGCCAGGTGAGGCTAGGCTATTGGGTTCTGACTTGGTTCAGGATACTTTAGAGAAGGTCAGAGTGATTCAAGAACGGCTTCGCACGGCACAGTCTAGACAGAAGAGTTATGCCGACAGGAAGGTTTGTGATGTTGTTTACATAGTCGGGGAGAAGGTTCTGCTCAAGATTTCACCCATGAAGGGTGTGTTGAGGTTCGGAAAGAAGGGCAAGTTGAGCCCTCGGTATATTGGGCCTTTTGAGATACTTAAGAAGATTGGAGAGGCGGCTTATGAACTTGCTTTGCCACCTAGTCTATCAGGTGTTCATCCAGTGTTTCATGTATCCATGCTCCGAAAGTATGTCGGGGATCCGTCTCATATTCTGGATTTCAGTACAGTACAGCTGGACGGTAATCTGACTTATGATGTAGAGTCGGTGGCTATTTTAGACCGGCAGGTTCGAAAGCTGAGATCAAAGACCATAGCATCAGTGAAGGCACAGTGGAGAGGCCAGCCAGTCGGAGAAGCTACTTGGGAGATTGAGTAGGAGATGCGGAGAAAATATCCACGCCTATTTGAGACTCCGGGTATGATTCTAAACCCGTTCGACGACGAACGTTTGTTTAAGAAGGGAAGAATGTAACGATCCAGCCGGTCATTATGAGTATTATAACCCCGTTCTCCCATTTACTGCTCAATTTATGCTTTACAGTTATTTTATGACTTACCAGGTTAGTTGGTTCGGGTCCGGAAGGAATTCAGAATGAAACGAGATACTTAGTCTCATAATTAAAAACTTAAGTTGAAAAAAATTGATCGGATATTTAATTATGTGTAAACAACCTCAGAATTTAATTCTGATAATTTCAATAGCTCTGTATGGTGATTTTGAACTTAGGAGCGTGTCCGAAAAATTATTTGGAGGTCGGTAGAGGAATTAGGCTTGAAATGGTGAAAATTAAATTTCTCGGGAAGTTTGACCGGGGAGTTGACTTTTTGACATCGGGGTTGGAATCCGATTAAAAATTGGAATACCTCTGTTATGTAATTTATGACTTGTGTGCAAAATTTGGGTCAATCGGACGTGATTTGATAGGTACCGGCATCGTTTGTAGAAATTGAAAGTTTCAAAGTTCATTAGGCTTGAATCTATGTGTGATTCGTGTTTTTAGTGTTGTTGGATGTAAGTTGAAGACTCGACTAAATTTGTATGATGTTTTAGGAATTGTTGGTATATTTGGCAGGGGTCCCGAGGGGCTCGGGCGTGTTTCGGATGGTATTCAGATAATTTTCCTTCATTTTTTCATTGCTGGTAGTTGCTGTTTGCTGGTGTTTCAGACCTTCTTCGCGAGGCAGTGTTGATTTTGTTCTTCGCAATCGCGTGAGGTTAACCGCGATCACGTAGGTTGGGCCAGTCTATTCTACATGAATGCGTGAAAGAGGCCACGATCGCGTAGGGGAATCTGAGAGGAAGCTGGGCCACGCATTTGCTCTATATGATCGCGTGAAGACATTTTCCATTTTTGACGGATTGGAGCTTGGGAAGAGGCGATATTTGGGAGATTTTTAGAGAAAACAACGGGGTAAGTGTTCTTAACTCAATATTAGTTAAATTACCTGAATCCATGGCTGTTTTTATCATTTATTTGGTGAATCAAGTTGGAAAATTTAGAAAACTCTCTTGGTTTAAATTGAAGATTTGACGGTCGAGTTGAGGTCGGATTTTGGTATGGTTAGACTCGTGGTTGAATGGACTTTAGGATTTTATAACTTTTGTCGGGTTCCGAGATGTGGGCCCCACGGGCAATTTTGGAGCTAAATTTCGAATTTTGTTGGAAAATTAGTATTTTCTCATGGAATTAATTCCAATAAATTTTATTGACTGAATCGAATTATTTGTAGCTAGATTTGAGGTGTTTGGAGGACAATTCGCGAGGAAAAGACATTGGAGAATAAATAATTATACGGCTTGAGGTAAGTAACAGTTTTAAATCTGGTCCTGAGGGTACAAAACCTCGGATTTTGTGTCATGTAATTATTTTGGAGGTGACGCACATGCTTGGTGATGGGCGTGTGAGCGTGCACCGAGGGGATTGTGACTTGGTACGTCCCGTAAAACTGTAAACTTGAATAACTTGTTGTTAGCTATATGCTCTCTATGTATTAAAGAAATTTGACTATAAATCATGCTTAGGCTATGTGATAGTACTGTTAGGACCTGCAGAGGTCGCGTACTTGTTGAATTATTTGCTAATTGATGTCTTGTACTCAGTCATGATTTTACTTGCGTATCATACCTCAGTCTTTTTTTATTTTTGTTGATACACTATGTTATCTTTGTTTGGGCTGATCTTTGTGAATTACGAGAGCCCGAGAGACTAGAGAAGTTGATGACTGAGTGAGGCCGAGGGCCTGTCGGTGAGGTATGGATATTATAGCACGTGAGTTGTCCGTGCAGCACGTGAGTTGTTCGTGCAGGATATTATAGCACGTGAGTTGTCCGTGCAGAATATTATAGCACGTGAGTTGTCCGTGCAGAATATAGCGCTTGGGCTGTAGGAGCCCCTCCAGAGTCTGTACACCCCCAGTAAGCACGGGTACCCATTGAGTGTGAGTGCTGAGGGCTGAGAGCCGAGTGGTTGAGTTGTTGTGACGAGTTTAGTGATTGTTGCCTTGAGAGGCTGTACTTACTTTTTATTTGTTGTTGCACTTAATTGCTATTTGTTATTTTGGTGAAATTTTCTGAAAGATTTTATAACCAGAATACATGAACTGTATAAAATTGATTTGACTTAAACCGCTGGATTTGAAAGCATGTCTATTCTTTGCTGGAATTATTGAATTATTGAAAGCTTGGGCTGGAATTATTGCTGGAATTACTTACTGAGTTGGTTGTACTCATACTACACCCTGCACTTCGTGTACAGATCCAGGTGTTCCCAAACATAGCGGGTATTGATTCTTTCGCGCAGTTGATTTTTCGGAGATTTTGAGGTAGCTGTCATGTTTCGCAGACCTTGTCTTTCCTTCCCTATCTCCTTGTTTACTGTATTTGGTCTTAGACTATTATAGACCGTATTTTCCCGACTTTTATTCATACTAGATACTCATGTACTCAGTGACACCATATTTTGGGAGTATTTATATCTGTACTTGTGAGATTTTTTTGTTCCGCTAAATTTAATCATTCTGTTTTCAAATTTAAAAGATATGGGAGTTTATTAAGATCGTCGGCTTGCCTAGTATTGAGATATGCGTCATCACAATGGGTGAGATTTTTGAGTCGTGACACCGCTTCTGCCACCCAACCAACGCACCTGCGGGCTCGTACCTACGGCCCAAAGCTCGCAGGTGCAGGCACACCAGAACTGGTGCACCAGCAGCCCTTTTTTGAGTCTTGACTCAATCCGCGCATCGTCCAAATGGCATCCGAGGCCCCGTCCAAATATACCAACAAGTCTATAAACATAATACGGACTTGCTCGAACTCTCAAAATGCATAAAACAACAACAAAACCAAGAATCACATCCCAAAACCAAATCGAATCAATATATGAACTTCAAGTTCTTCAATTTACTCCCAACGCGCCGAAACGTACTTAGACTACTCGGAATGACACCAAATTTTGCGTGCAAGTCTTAAATCACCATACGGAACCATTCCCGATCTCGGAATCCCATTTGGACCTCGATATCACCAAAACCTACTCCAAACCAAATTTAAAGAACTTTTAGATCCTTCAAAGAACCAACTTTCACTATTAGGCGCCGAAACGCTCCCGATTCATCCAAAATCCGATCTGAACATACGCTCAAGTCTGAAATCATTATACGAACCTATTAGAACCGTCAAATCCCGATTCCGAGGTCATTTACTCAAAATGTTGACCGAAGTCAAACTTAGACTTTTTAGCCAACCTTAAGGGACCAAGTGTTCCGATTTCAACCCGAACCCTTCCAAATCCCGAACTAACCATCCCCGAAAGTCATAAAACAGTAAAAGTACGTACGGAGAGTCTTATTTAAGGGAACGGGGTTCTAAAAAGTAAAACGACCGGTTAGATCGTTACAAAACAAATGTTAAAGTATAATCCAATAAATGAAAGTTAAACCATGACCTATAAAATATTGTTTGGTATATTATTTAAAATTATGAAAACATAGAGTTTAACTGAATTGTTTAGTACTCGTTCTATTTCAAAAAGTTTGACAATATATGTCAACCATATATTCAATTTTACTCCTATTCAGACATTGATTCATTTATGATCTTTAAAAAAGATGGAAAGTCACATGCCACGTGGTTTGACGATGTTTACTACTTTGTTGAACCTTCTACATACGAAAGAAAAACAGTTGTTTTGAAAAGGCTATATATTGCTACTATAAAGTTTCAACATTGCTCTCATAAACATCCCACACTTTTAATTTCCTACTTTCATCACTATAGTCTGCAGGTTCTAACTTGTCCAGTTTAATTACCATGTCTGGTCAAAATGATGAAATTGCTCTAATTGATCCAAATGTCGATCCATATCGATATTTGGGCATTAGGCGTAATACGGACGACTCTATTATACGTCTACCAGAATCAACTCTTCCGTTTGCCACTACTATTCCTGATCTTTCCTTAGTCTTCACTAAAGATCTCATCATTAACCCCACCAAAAACACATTGGCTCGTATTGTCATCCCTCGTAAAGTACTAAACTCAAACAATATCAATACCACAACCAAACTCCCTCTTATAGTATATTTTCATGGCGGAGGATTCGTAATTGCAGCTAGTGTAGACACACCGTTCTTACAAACGTTTTATGAAACACTTGTGGCTGAAATTCCAGCCATAGTTGTATCTGTCGATTATCGATACGCACCCGAAAATCGACTTCCAGCAGCTTATGATGATTGTATCGAATCACTGCATTGGATCAAGAACAATCCTGATGAGTTGCTGAAAAAATATGCTGATTTTTCTAAGTGTTTTCTCATGGGGACAAGTGCAGGTGGTAACATAACTTACCATGTAGGTTTACAAGTCGCTGGAATTAGTGAATACCTTAAGCCTTTAGAAATCAAAGGATTGATTTTACATCATGCTTTCTTTGGTGGGAATGAAAGGACACAATCGGAACTAAGGTTAGCTTTTAACAAGATATTGTCACTAAATGTGAGTGATATTATGTGGGAGTTAGGTTTGCCTATAGGAAGTGATCGTGATCATCCTTATTGCAATCCAATGGGGGAGATTAAATCAAATGATAATTTGTTTGACCAAGTGAAAATACAAGGTTGGAAAGTTTTGCTGATTGGTTGTGATGGTGATCCTTTGATTGATAGACAAACTGAACTTTCGAAAATGTTGAAAGAAAAAGGGGTGCAAGTTGTGGACATTTTTAGTGAGGGAGGGTTTCATGCCTGTGAATTTTTTGATCCTAACAAGTTGAAAGAATTGGCCGTTGTTATAATGGAGTTCGTGAGAGGTTAAGCAATTTTTGGATCGTATTATTATTTTAGTCGTGTTGTGGCAAGTGATGTTTCTATGAAATAATTAATACCGATTATAAAAATAAGAGTTTACTCAGAGAGGTATAGCTCCTCAAATCCTATTTTATGGGACGATACTATGTTTATTATTATTATTACTCGAAGAGATATTGCAGTGTATCAAGGAGAAAAAGAAAAATAATGTTGAGATTTTGAATGTTAGAGTTCCAAATAAGTGACAAGTATTGTTTTTACTACTACATTTGAATAAATTGAAATATTCCTGATTTCAATTAGCTATTTGGATATTCCTATTATTTGCTACTTGGCTCCTAAAAAAGATCAAATCCGCACATGACGAGGAATATTAATAACATAATTAAGTATAAATGGATATATGACTTAGCTTGCCTATCATTCAACTTTGCTAAGACAGAAATAACTTATTTCTCCCTCTCTCACGCTTTATAGATTCATCTAACTAGCTTGACACAACACCATATAATATTGGAAGATAGCTGGTCTATAAAACTTCATTAAAATAACTGAAACTTCTTTATGAAATAACACAAATACCGCAGTCTCACTAGCTTGGCATATTTTATTTATTTTATTAAATAGTCATTACCTTTCATCAACACAGATATTAATAAATCATTTATTTTCGCAATAAAATTTGAATGGAAATCTCCCATCGACCACTTATTTATTTGGTGTACGATTTACCAAAACTCCCTAACTCATAACTTTTCGTGATGGAGGTCTCGTCATGTGCAATGTTAGATACGACTATCCATAATTATAATATATGGAAAAGTTGCGTTCCATTAGGGAACACCATAGAATGGTGATAAGTGTCAAAAAAGGTTGGTCATTGACAAGGTCCAACTTCCAATTATATGTCAAGCAATATTATTTTTTTGGCAATTAGGGTCGAGAAAGGTGTGGACAATGATCACAGCTAAAGGAAATGGAAGAAATGGGTGTGCAATTGATTGGTACCTTCATTAATATTGTGGATCTCATGTACTATCAGTGCCTAATATGGCATTTAAATACACTTCTTATTTTATTCATTTTCGTTTCATTTCATGGTTAGGAGATAAAAGGGGAGCTATGGAGCAAAGGTAAAGTTGTCTCCATGTGACCTATAGGCTACGGATTCGAGCCGCGAAAGCAGACACCGTAGGTTCTCTACATCATACCCATAAGGGGTGGGCATCCTTCTCTGAATACTGCGTGAATACGGAATGCTTTGTGTACAGGATTATCTTTTTTTCATGGTTTGTGTATACAGATGAAACCGGTCCCATAAGCTGGCCCGATTTCCGATAAAATAAATCAATTAAGGAACACGATGACAAGGAACTGGAATCGAGATAAGGGACTCATCGAGTTAGGCATCGGGGGCACGACGCCCGCCCTCGAGTATATTGAAGCCATGACCCCGGGATCGGTCCAAATCCCAAAAGACTTCGGAGAGCATTATTGGGCAATCGAACACGATTGACGGAAGGCCGTAATATCCATGACCAACTGGGTATCACGGCGCTGATCTCGGCACGTACCGACGGAAATTCAGTAATTAGTTAAACGGAAGATTTTTACCTTTTATAGAATTATACCTAGAGTGGGATTCCCCTACTATATAAAGAGATGTCTGATTATTCATTGAACACATCTGATTATTTATTGAACACATTGTAACACGCATCACAAAGCAATATACTATTATTTATGTTATTCATAGCTCTTGCGTTGCTGATCAGTGTTTCGTTTTTCGTTATTATAAGCCTGGGATCGAAGACGAATACCTTGTTGAGGCTACCCTCGAGTCGAGAATCCTCCCCCTCCCCCCTTATTTTCAAGCGGTTTGATAATTTATTACATCTCTTGCCTGTTTATTCTAGCAATCTTTACCATTTGTATTGAATAAATCCATGTATCCTTAAAACCACTTACAAATTTAATTGTTATCCTTTTTTAGGATAAACAATTTCTATTTTACACTTATTCTTTGAAGTGTCTTTAATTTCAAGTCAAAGTTTAAAATGTCGAACTCTCAATCTACCCCTCTAAACGTGGATGCTGAGTTCAGTCATCATGGCGAGAACAACGATATGGTACCTAGTAACGAGGTGCCCCCTGTCAATCCCAACGGAGTTCCAACCGCGGACCCAATTGACGCTAAGTCACATATGGCCATCAATGCGAATTTGCCTACCGATCCTGGGAATAGTGTACACGGGGGAGTTCGATCGGTAGCCCAAAATACACATGACGGTGAAGGGGATGGGATAAACTTGCGAGTGATCTTCGAAATGCTACAAGCTCAACATACAGCGATAGCCCAGCTGCAGAACCAGAGTCGCGCCCCCAGCAGGGTTGAGCCTGAGCCGCCCCGGGAAATCGCTCACAGAAACGAACCAGTCACGGAGAGGCCGAGTGATGCCGAACCCGGGACTAACCCCGAGATCAAAAAAATGCTCGAGAAACTGACAAAACGGGTAGAATTGGGAGAAAAGAAAATTGAAGCCAATGACAAAAAGATGGAAACCTACAATTCAAGGGTCAACCAAATTCCAGAAGCACCACCGATATTGAAGGGCCTGGATTCTAAGAAGTTTGTTAAAAACCCTTTCCTCCAAGCACAGCTCCGAAGCCAATCCCGAAGAAGTTCTGCATGCCCGAGATTCCTAAGTACAACGGAACAACCTATCCAAATGAGCATGTGACCTCCTACAAGTGTGCCATCAAAGGGAACGACTTAGAGGATGATGAGATCGAGTTCGTCCTGCTGAAAAAATTCAGGGAAACTTTGTCGAAGGGAGCTATGATATGGTATCACAACTTACCCCTAATTTTATTGACTCGTTTGCTATGCTTACAGACTCCTTCGTGAAAGCACACGCCGGAGCCATCAAGATCGATACCAGCAAGTCCGACCTTTTCAAAGTGAAACAGAGAGATAATGAGATACTCAGGAAATTTGTGTCTTGGTTTCAAATAGAACGAATGGACTTGCCTCCGATCGCGAACGATTGGGCCGTTCAGGCCTTCACCCAAGGACTCAATACTCGAAGCGCATTATCTTCACAGCAGTTGAAGCAAAATATAGTAGAATATCCTGCTGTAACTTGGGCCGATGTACATAACCAGTATCAATCAAAAATTAGGGTCGAAGATGATAAGCTTAGGACCCCTTCCGGGTCCTCTTATCCCGTCAAAGCTATCGACAGACCCAAGAGAGACATTGATCATGAACCGAGATTAAGTAGGGATCGGTATTAACCATACAATTAGAACTGGAGAGGTAATGGGTCTGGACGAAACCCTATGAGAAGTGAAAGGAAAAGCGATCGAGGTCAAAATAACTGAGGACTCATGAGCAAAAGCGGTTTCGACAGGCCCATCGGGACTAATGAAGCGCCAAAGTTATCGCAGTATCACTTCAACCCCAATGTTGTTGCCATCGTATCTACCATCGGATGCATCAAAGACACCAAGTGGCCTCAACTTCTGCAATCCGATCTAGCCCAAAGGGACCCCAACCTAATGTGTAAGTATCACGGCATTCACGGCCACAAAACGATTGCTGACAATTGAGAGAGTAAGTAGCCCGATTATTCAACAACGGACATCTCTGAGAGTTCCTGAGCGATCGAGCCAAAAACCATTTCAAGAATAGAGACTCTAATAAGCAAATCGAGCAGGAGGAACCTCAGCATGTCATTAACATGATCATCGGTAGGGTCAACGTCCCCCAGGGGTCGATGTTAAAGAGCACCAAAGTGTCCATCACTAGAAAAAAACGGACTCGAGATTACGTGCCAGAAGGAACCTTGTCTTTCAACGAAGAGGATGCTGAAGGCATCGTGCAGCCACACAACGACGCACTGGTAATATCTGTACTCATAAATAGATCTCGAGTTAAGCGTGTGTTAATTTATCCAGGTAGCTCAGCCAATATCATCAGATCGAGAGTCGTAGAGCAGTTGGGTCTACAAGACCAAATTGTGCCTGCAGTCCGAGTTCTAAACGGATTCAACATGGCATGTGAGACCACTAAAAGGGAGATAACACTACCGGTGAACACCGTCGGAACCATTCAGGAAGCAAAGTTCTACGTGACCGAAGGAGATATGAGATACAACGCTCTATTCGGGAGGTCATGGATTCACAACATGAGGGCAGTGCCCTCGACACTACATCAGGTGTTGAAATTCCCAATGCCAGGAGGGATTAAAATAATTTACGGAGAATAACCGGCCCCAAAGGAGATGTTTGCGGTCGACGAGGTGGTCCCGATATCCGCACTTTCTACACCAAAGGGTCTAAGTTCGGTCGTCAAGGAAGGAATCAAATAGCAATCACCGACACCGGCCCCGACTGAACCGGAGAAGCAGGGGACGGATGAGGACGACATCTACGGAGTTCCCAAATCTATCATAGTCCTCGACAATTCTGACGCCACCAAATCAACGGTCGAAGAACTTGAGCAGGTCATATTGATCGAGCATCTGCCCGATCGTAAGGTATACCTGGGCACGGGGTTAAATCCCAAGCTTAGGAAAAAATGCATTAAATTCCTTATGGCTAACATAGATTGTTTCGCTTGGTCCCACCTCAACATGACAGGGATACCACCGAAGATAACTATCCATAAGCTGAGCCTGGATTTGAAGTTCCACCCGATAAAATAGAAAAGGAGGCATCAGTTTGAAGTCAAGCATGCATTCATCAAAGACGTGGTATCTAAACTCCTTAAAATAGGGCCCATCCGGGAGGTTAAATACCCGGATTGGTTAGCAAACATAGTGGTAGTCCCTAAAAAGGGAATAAATTAAGAATGTGTGTAGACTACAAAGACTTGAATAAGGCATGCCCTAAAGAATACTTCCCTCTGCCCAACATCAATCGCATGATCCATGCGACGGCCATCCACTAGATCCCCAGCTTTCTCAAAGCCTATTCCGGGTAAAACCAAATTCGGATGGACCC